TATCCACTTGGAGTTTACAGAATATACTGTGAGATGTGGGGTTGTATCACTTCCTAATTCTGCTTTCCTAGTCTGTTTCACTGATCTACATTTATATTTTTACCCAGTAGCAAATAATTACGATGAACATTGTTTTGCAAATAGTTTGGGATTTAGTACTGCTAGCCCATCTCTCATTCCACTCCCCCACCCCATTATTTCTCTTCAGATTCTAGACCCTTTGTGAGTCTGACTGCTATGACACTAAATAAGTCTTCCTTCAAAGGTTATACTAATGTCATTTTTTATTGCATTGTGCTCAGTAAAGGATGTGGTTAATATTTTTGCTTCTCTGCACTTATTTATAATACTTTAGAAGAGGGCTAATTTTTTTTGTAAAGATGCTATACATAGCTGTGAAATGTCTGTTTCTTTGGATTCCCATTCAATAATTATTAGAGAGCTATCCTATTCAATTTTTACTGAAATTCTCTCCAGATCATTTTCTTTTTAATTTATTTTATCTGTCTAGGTCTGATTTAAGGTGTCCAACTTTTGTAAGTTTTGCTACTTATTTCTTCTTGTAATTTGACTAAATTTTCCTATAAGAGCCTAGATGCTATGCTATTATGTGCATATGTTAAGTATTAAAATTATTTAATTTTTGATGGTGCTTTAAAATATATTGTAGTTTCCTTGTTTAAACTATTTCCACTTTTAAGGTTACATTGTTTAAGATTGTGTTAACCCTACTTTTTTCAGTTCACTTGAAGTGTGATAAATTCTTCTCCATCCCTTCACTTTTAACTGTGTGAATCTTAACGTTTCCAGCGTCTTATTCTGTTTCCTCTTATTTTCAGCCTCAGGTACTGAACTGAGACTTGATGTAGTAGGTAGGCCTTATTCAGTCCTGTCTCCTCTGCATTCCTCTATCTGGATGGGGTAGCTACCATACCCACCCTACACTGTGCATCGGTCCCCTTGATTCTATCTCAGTCTTCTGGTGTTCTAATGCAAATTCTCTTTGCAAGATAGTTAGTGAGAAGTTGCTTCTGCTCCCTCTATGGTCCTTAAAGGATTCAGCAGGAGATCCTACTGTTTGGGGGCTGGCTGCATTGCATTACTTTCCTGGAACTGGTGCTCAGAGGATGAGCTGGCCAAGTCTCCCAATGTAACCGTCAGTGTTCCAAGGTTTGGCTGTCTCTTTGTGAGGTCAACCACTGAGACTGGTTCTATTCCTACTTCTATGCAATTCTGGACAGGATGGAAAAGATTATTTCTATTTTTTTTTTTGCTTTCTTTTTTCAGGCGTCTTTATCATTGGTCTTTCTGAGACTCTGTTAGATTTTCAGTGGGAGAGATTGGCTTCTTCATGACAATGCCATCTTATTTATAAGTCCTTTCACAGGATTTTCACAATCACAATGCCACTTTAGCAGTGGCACAATCCATTGTGACTTTTTATTTTCTTGTTTCTTGTTTTTGGGAAACTCTGTGATCCACCAATGCAATCAACTTCCTTTATTTATTAGCTTGACACAAGTAACCTGATCTCCATGAGTCTTGGTTTGCTTATATGTAAAGGTATGTGGTTCTATAATTCTTTTGGAACAGAGTGGTCCCTCAATTTGAAACAATACCGGGAACTTAATTCGAAAAAATAACTTTCAAGTGCAAGATGCTGTATTATTGACATTTATCAATTTCCTTCTTTCTGCCTGTACATTAGTATAAAAAGACAGATCATTGTACAATTTAGTAAGCTATATTTATTTATGCTTCTTATGTCACTTTGGTTTTGCAAATCAGTCAATTAAGCTGAAACTTGTTGTATTGTAACATTTTTAGCTATATTACTTTTTACTTGACTTCAAACAAAGCCCTTCCAGGTGACTGAAACACTTAGGGTTTTGTTTTTTTTGGCACTGAATAAAAGAAAGTGATAGTACAGTATGGAAAATTACATTTTAACACTTAATTACTATGTCAACCAAAGTTCTCTGAACAGTATTGAAATGTTCATAGCTTAAAATGCAGAAGCATAAAAAAATCCCTAGAAATTCTATCTCAATAATAACTGAAATCATGATCAGTTGAAAAAGTACTTTTGCAATAACAGACTGCCTATTTTAATTGTCAATAATATCCATGCTGGGGCAGCTCGGTGGCCCAGCGGATAGAATGGCAGGCCTGGAGTCAGAAAGACTCATCCTTCTGAGTTTAGATCTGGCCTCAGACTTTAACTAGCTACATGATTCTGGGCAAGTCACTTAACCCCGTTTGCCTCAGTTTCATCATCTGTAAAATGAACTGGAGAAGGAAATGGCAAACTAATCCATTATCTTTGCCAAGAAAATCCCAGATGAAGTCACAAAGAGTCCGACACGACTGAACTACAATAAAAATATCCAAGCTCGATAGCATGATAAATACTGTTACGGAATTTCAGAGTTGCTAGAGACCACAGAAATTCTATGCATTCAAAGGCATACTTCATTACATATTCTACACATACTTTTGAGGCCGAATAAAACACGTCTAATCCCTTTTCTACATGATATGCTTTCAAATATTTGAAAATATTATGTCCCCCCTAAGTCTCATCTGACTCAATCTAAACATCCCCAGTTTCAACCAACCATTATATGGAATAAACTGAAGGTCCTTTACCATCTTGGTCATTCTCTTCCCGACAGTCTCTAGGTTATCAGTGCCAACGTGGAGCCTAGTACTAAACAGAATACTCCAGACCTACTTGACCAGGGTAAAGTAAAAGGAACTATCACTTAGTTCTGGAAGCTATATGTTTCCTAATGCAGTCTAAGATCCCATTAACTTTGGAGGTTGACAGTATCACAAAACTGACTAATGTTTAGCTTGAAGTTCAGTAAAACCTCCAGATAGTGAGCTATTTAAATTTGATTTGTTTTTTGCCTAAAATATATATTTTTTTTAAACTGGAAAGAGACACCAATAAACCTACAAAAATCTTTCTGTGTATTGCTAACAAATTCCGAAAGGATCATAGAAAAAAACAAATTCCATTCAAAATTACTAAAATTTTATAAAATATTTGGAAGTTAACCTATTAATGAACATTAAGAGCATTATCAAACCACTAAAGTGTTAACTGCACAGAACTAAATGAACAACAAAGTTCATCTGGAGGAAGAAAAGATCAAGGACATGAAGGGAAATGCTGAAAAAAGGAGTGAAAGAAACAGAGCGTTATCATATCTCAAACTATTTTATAAAGCAGTAATCTCTATAATTATTTAGTACTGATTGAAATTCTGAAAAAAACAGCTACTGAAAAAAGCAAGGTAAGCAAGCCCCAGGAGCAATCACTAAAACAGGCTTTCATAAACCCCAAAACACAAATTATGAGGCAAGGCCTTCCTAATTTGATAAGAATTGATGCAGGAAATGGAAAGATGGTGTGCAAAAATTCAAATTTGGACCAATATATTATACAGCATACCCCAATAAATATAAATAGATATCAAGCTCAAATATTATTATATTATTAAATACACACACAGGTTAGAAAAGAATGGTACGTAGTACCTTATATAACCTTTGACTAGGGGGCAGAATTCTCAATTAAACAAGAGAAAGAGGTTATCAAAAAGTTAAAATGGATCAAGTTTTTACATAAGCAAAAGCAATGCAGATAGAATAAGAAAGAAAAGCTGTTGACAGGAGAAAATCTTCACAACAAATATCTCTGATAAAGACCTGATAATTAAAATACAAATGTATGAAAACAAAAGTCATTTCCCAACAGATAACTGACTTAAATGAACAGGCAGTTTAAAAAAAATGCAAGTTAGGGGGCAGCTAGGTGGCCCAGTGGATAAAGCTCTGGCCTTGGAGTCAGGAGGACCTGAGTTCAAATCCGGCCTCAGACACTTAACACTTACTACCTGTGTGACCCTGGGCAAGTCACTTAACCCCAATCGCCTCACCAAAGGCAAAAAAAAAAAAAAGTAAATTATCAACAACCACGCGAAAGAAGGCTCCAAAGCCCTAACAGTAAGAGGGAAAACAAACAAACAAACAAAAAAAAACAAAACACCTAATACTTGTCAGACTGGCAAAGATGATAAATGCTGAAGGGTTGTAGCAAGACAGGCATACTAACAGACTGCTGGTAGAGCTAAGAATTAGTCCAACCATCCTGGAAAACAACTCACAATTATACTAGAAAGTCACTAAATTACTGAAATAAAACTGTTAAGCTAATAATCACTAATTAGGCAAATTCCTCATAGAGATCAAAGATAGTGGGAAAGATCCTTAAAAATATCTATTTTAGCAAAAGAACTAGAAGGAAAGTGGGTGACCAGAGATTGAGATTTTGTCTAAACAAATTGTGGTTTGTGAATATAATGTAATACTAAGAAACTATAAGCAATAACAAATTATGAACAACTGCGATTCTTAGGAAAACCTGTATGAACAGATGCAAAACTGCGAGGAAAAATTTCATAATATGTAAACAGAGCAACACTGAAAGAGCTCAGAACTCTCATCAGTGTACTGGCCAATCCTAACTTCAAACAACTGATGGTGATGCATGTCTGCTGCAAGATAGCAGAGAGCTGCTGGACTATAGGTATGGAATGAGTCATGCATTGTGATACCATGGAGAACCTGATGAATTGTTCTGCATAAGCATACTTCTTGGTTGAAAAGGAAGATTCTATTGGGCCGGGATTCACTGACAGGTGATAACAATGTTTTTTAAAAAAAAGAGCCATCATTAAAACAATGCTCCCCCCCCCCAATTAATCTAAAGTAGGTATTCTTTATTTGTATTTGAATGTGCTACCAAAGTATAAAACTGTGCTTCAACTGATAGAGTAACTACCTTTTGGGAATCTTATTTACATACCCAGAGCCCACACACACCACCATAATTTGCAGAAAGCATCATTGTAGGGGATAAATCCCTCAAGTCAGACAATAGTTTCGTGCACAGGCTTTGGAGCCCACCCAGGATTTGCACGCCTTCTTACCCAAGTGGTTCTGCCAGCACTTTAGACCCGTTTCTTCGATCAGAGGCCTTGCAGCGGCGATATCCACCAGGCCCCGGTCATTGACAGGCAGGGTCACCTTGAACAGTTCTTCCAGAACTTGTTTCTTACTGTGTATCAATTCGGTCCAGACTCTGTTGACAGCTTTTATGAGAAGCTGACGACCTAAATCATAAAGAAAAAACACTGTTTATAATCTTTTACTTTCTACAAAATTTTTAAGTCAGAGTAATTTTAATTAAAAAAGATTCATTTGTTCACAAAGCATCTGATTCATTCAAACATACTGTCACTGTCAATATTGTCAGACCACAGACAACATGATCCATCTGAAAAGCTACAATAACAAGACCAAAAAAACATACAAAAATATTAGCTTAATCTGTATAATTATGAGTACATTTTCCTACATTAATTTTTCTCTGTAGCTCATATGAATTATATGATTGTCTAAAAATGATTTGGTCTTAAACATTTATTACATATATATATATATGACTCTTTTTAACATCCCATCTAGGGAAGCTTTCTCTTTTTTTTAAATGCTTGCATTTTGTTAGTACCTATTATTCTTTATTTGCAATGACTATAATAGATCATTTCATAAAACAAGTTTTACAAAAATGAGAAATGATAATTACAGTTCTTACTTAGTGATAACAAAGCTTATCCCCAAATCTAATCATTTCTTATACCATTTGGAAATGATTAGATCGCACCTAGGTGAGAGATCATAAGTATAAGGCGGTTCTTCTAGAACATATAGACATGTTTTTGACTAAATAATAAATCTATTTTGAGACTTTTTATGTTGGAAGTAAGCGGAACTGCTAAGGCCTCTTTCTTAGCACATCTGGCTTCTTCACCACCATCATCATCAAATAGCAACCGCTATAGGCCAGGGACCATGCTAGGAACAAAGAAAGAACTTCGATTCTCCTGGGAGAGATGCTGTGTGTGTATACGTGTGTGCTGGTGTGACTGTGTATGTGCAGAATAACTTTACAGAGAATAGATACAAAGTAGTTAAATACAGGATAGCTTGTATTTCCTTTTACAAGGGAACTTGCCGGGAAGAACAGGAAACGATTCTTGTAAAAAGTGGTTCTTAAGCTGAGTCTTGAAGGAAGGGAAAATTCTAGAGGCTGCAAGTGGAAAGGAGAAGGGCAGGTCAGATGTGTCTGGAGGAGAACCAGGAGAAAGCCATGTGACAAAAACCTGGAGAAGAGAAAGTGTGTGCAAGGACAGAGCGGTCAACAGCAGGAGACACAGAGGACAGGTCAAGAAGGATGACTATTGAGAAATGCCAAAACATCTGGCAATCCAGAGGTCACTGGTAAGTGGGGAGAAAGCAATTTTAGTTGAATAATGAAATCAGAAGCCAGGTTTCAGATGGCTGAGCAGGAAGAAGAAAGCAAGTGAAGAAAGCAGCGGGATAGATACCTTGTTCTAGGAGAATGTCTGAAAAAGACAGAAGAGACACAGGATATAACATGATGGGATAGCAGGGTCTAGTGAAGTTTTTTTTTTTTTAAGGATATGGGAGGCTTGGGTATGTTTGAAGGCAGCAAGGAAGGACCCAGAAGACAGAGAGAGAGAAGCTGATGATCAGAGAGAAGGTAGATGACTGAGGTTGATGGAAGGAGATAGGATCAAGAATACATGAAGCTAAATGGTAGCCAAGTGGTGCAGTGGATAGAGTACCAGCCCTGGAACCAGTGCGATCTGACTTCAAATCTGGCCTTAGACACTTACCAGCTGTATGACCTTGGGCAACTCGCTTAACCCTGACTGCCTCCAAAAAAAAAAAAAAAGAGTATATGAAGAGACACTGGTCTTGAAAAAGAGAAGGGCCACCTCAATCAAAGACCGAGGGGAAAAGAGAACAAAGACATAGTGTCAAGGGTTTTCGGTTGAAGAGAGTAGGAGAAAGGGGAGCTCAGGTTGAACAGCTTTAATTTTCTTTCTTTTTTTAAATATAATTTTATTTTTTCAATAAAAGTTTTGTTTCCTTTTTCAGCCATCTCTACCACACTGGAAAAAAAAAAAGTAAAACAAAACTCTTGTAAAAATATGAATTGCCAAGCAGAAAAAAAAAAAAGGAATCCCCACATTGGCCATATCCAAAAACGTGTCTTATTCTGCACTTCTTAGTCCATGAGTGCCCTGTTCAGAGATGGGTAGCATGCTTCACTCGCAGTCACCTGGAATCATGAGTGCGCATTGTCTTGATCAGAGTTCTTACATTTTTCAGAAATGTTTGTCTCCACAATGTCATTATTGTGTAAAGGGTCCTCACATAAGCCTCCCAGGGCTCCTGTCTTATCATTTCTTATGGCACTAGAGGATCCATTATGTTCACATACTACAATTCGTTCAGCTACTCTCCAATTGATGAGGTAGTTCTTTGCCCCATAAAAACAATTGCTATAAATATTTTTAAACATGTTTCTTTTTCCTCTTCTATCTTTTTTTGGGGGGATATAGATATAGTAGTGGCATAGCTGGATCAAAGGCAATAGACAGTTTAGTACCTTTTGGGGCACAGTTCCAAACTACGTTCTAGAATGGCTCGATCAATGCACAGCTTCACCAGCAGTCCAGGTGTCTACTTTACCTAAGCCCCTTCATTTTTGTAGACTGGCAACCTGACAAGCGTAATGTAGAACTGTAGCAGTAAAGCAGGAGTAACTCAAGGATAAGGTTTTGCCAAGAAACAAACTGAGGCAGGACAAGGGGTGAGGGACCTGTGTGAGGGCAGGGAGAGTTGAACTCATTAGTGACAGTGCTGTGATTGGGAAGGAATAAAATGAAGCTTCAGGAGGGCTAAGGGCCTGGGGAAAGTGCCGAGGGGCTGGTGGGTCTGGAGGTCCCCAAGAGGACAAAGAAGACAGTTGGGAAAGGCAAGACCCAGAGAAAGATGGAATGATAAAGGGACAATCCAGGAAGGGGAATAGCTGTTTGTGGGTAAGAGGAGTTCTAACGGGCGACCATCCCTGAGTGATGGGGAAGATGCCAACACAGCAGGGCTGAAAAAGGATAACTGGGAGGTGAAGGTATTTAAGAGCATATCACTTTGGGGGCAGCTAGGTGGTACAGTGGATAGAGCACTGGCCCCGAAGTTAGAAGGACCTGAGTTCAAATCTCAGACACTTGGGTGTGGAACCCTGGACAAATCACTTAACCTCTATTATGAGAGAGAGAGAGACAGAGAGAGAGAGACACACACACACACACACACACACACACACACACACAGAGAAAGAAAGAGAGAGAGAGAGAGAGAGAGAGAGAGAATGAGAATATATCACTGTGAATGCTACAGTTTCCCACAAAACACGAGTCAAGTGCTGGGCTCTTCCAGAAGACAGAATGACCAGGGACTAGTCTATCACAGCCATCACAATCTAGACTGGGGAGAAATGTTTGAATGTGTGAATGTTAAAGGAAAAGAGGCTAAAGCATGGCGGTGGGACAGGAAGGCGGCTGGAAATCAAGGAGTATCCTGAATGCCTCTGTGCTCAGATAATGAGAAAAGTCAGATCCAAGGCTGGAAGGGGAAGTCAGGGGAAGTAGCCTGAAGGAGATGAGAGAAAGGAGTCTAGAACAAAAGCGAGCCTGCTTATTATACAACAGGAATTTCAGTGGTGTTAACAACTGTTAGGGGTCCCCTGAACTTGTCTTTTTGAGTTGCCATATTTTCCATAAACACTGGACCCAGAGTATGCAGGAGGCCCTGAACGCATCAAGGATGAAGCTCCCCCTCAGCTTGCATCCCAAGCCGGACTCCCTGTGTGTGCCTGGGAGGCAAGGCAGGACGCAGTCAGCCTGTGCTAGGCTTGTGTAGCTGGGACCCCTGGAGATAAGCAGACCATCCTATCTTTTGCCATCACCCTGATCCTCCCCTTTGGGAGGGATTTTGTCCTTTTCCCACCTTTACTGCACCTTTTCCCCCCATGCCATTCCCCTTTAGGTAGAGATTTGTGTTTTTCTCCTCCTCCTTTTGTGGTACTGTTGTGAATATGCAAACTTCTGTGTGGATTGTGAAGTCTTTGGGCTCCACATCCATGTTCATTTCTCTTGTAATAAACCTGGTTTTCCCATAAGTCTCATGATACCACGATTGCCTCTTGGCAGAAGAAAGGGCTGGCTGAGTTGGAGTGGGCCTTGCCTGGAGAGGGTGATGCTGAAGACAAGAGGAAGGGTCTTGGGAGACACTGGCCCTTGAGTGGCACATGAAGTCTACAGGGTCAGGAAGGCAGCCGGCAGTCACAGGGCTGGGCCTTGCTCTGAGCCGACCCCGTCCTCTTTACCTTAGTCACTCCGTGCTGACGGAGGCTGAGTGGTGACAGTCGTAGAACTGCATCGAGTCACAGCAAGGGAGAGACAGAGAAAGACGGGCCACAAGTCGTGTGCAGGGGCTTATGCTGGTTACCTTCACTGACATCCTGACTGCAGCTGCCGTCTGAGTCTATGTCGGAGGGGATCATGATGTGCCAGGTCGTCATGCGGGCCTCTGCTTCCAGTCCAAACCCATCCACGTGGCTGGAAAAGTCCGATCATTTTAACATTGTCTGAGGAAGGTCACGGCCTTGGAAAACCTCTAGTGGGCAAACATTGCTACGGCAAGTCAAAGATTCCCTGGCTCTCAGTCTTCCTCTCCTCCTCACTTTCTGCCTCCCTGCTAGGGGCCTTGAACATCCATGCTGGTGCTCCTTCAAACGCCCTGACCTCTCAGTTTTTGGATGTCCTCCGGCCCCATGACCACCCTCTTCTACCCACATCAGCCATTCATAGGAACAGAGCTCACTATTACACTTATTTGAACAAAAGCTGATATTCCTGTGTCTGAACATAACCTACCACTCTATGTCTCCCTATGCTCCCCTCCTAAAACTAATTTTCATTTCAAAACCTCTGACATCATGCCCCACTTTCTACAACTCCTTCCCTCCAATACTTAATACTGAGGGGACCCTTCTCCTTGCTGAGACTGTCGGCCTGACCTCCCACCTAACGGCTTCTGCTCCCTCACCAACCACATCCCATGCCCTAATCTGGTGAGGAAGGACTTGAACCCAGTCTTCATGACCCTCAGGCCAGCTTTTTATCCATGACACTACACTGTCTCCTTAAGGTTGTGAAGGACAATAAAAGGGATCAAAACACAGAGCTATTCACCAGGGAAACGATCTCTTACAAAATTAGTCCCTGCTCATGCACTTCTTCTCATTTAATGCTGGTGTCTATCCTCACTCATCATCAGCTCTCTGTGCACCAACATTTGTGTTGGTTGGCGGCTCACTTACTACGACAGGTGCTTCAAAAGAGAAGGATCTGAACATGAAAGGATTAAGACAGACCCTTGGGAAAACGGATTGAGTATTTTTGTAACAATGACTCTTTTTAAGATTATGCTGTAAAAGTCAAATTTGAAGGAAGTCATGTTGTTTCATCATACAATTTTGCTGGAAAAAATTTTTAAAAACCAATGAATATTTTATTTGTTTTTTGATTCTTAGATTGTTTAAGAATTAATGCAGAGTTGCAATCACATGATCATACATTTCCAGCTAGAAGGGACCTTAGAGGCCAATGAATCCAACTCCTTCTTTCAATACAAGAGGAGACTGAAGTACAGAGAGGTTGGATGACTTGTCAGCATCCTAGGGATGCTGATAGGGAGCACCTAAGGCAGGTTCAGGCCTTCCAGACTCTCAAGACCAATGTTCTCTGTACTATGCTCCCTAAAGTTGCCTCTTGTTTAAAAAACAAAACAAAACAAAACTTGTTTTGGGGATTGAAACTGAGGTTTCACTAGTTTAGAAAACTCATTTACCAATGCACACAGGCACCTGGAGCATTAACTCCCTCGCCCAGGAACATTCGGCTAATATTATACCCTCCCCTAACTGCCCTTAATTTTGTTATCTGTAAAGTAAAACACACAACTTGTTAACTATAAGCTAAAATAAACTTATTTTTCACGATATTTCATTTCATTTTTCCAGACAAAAGTCCAGATAAACTCCCCCCCACTGTTTATAATGAAATGCTAGCCCTTGCTTTAGATGGATTCACAATGGAGCAGCCTCAAATAATGAGGATCTTATGAGTTACTGAGGAAGACACGCACAGGGGAAATAGCCCACAGAATATCATCGGAGAGATGTGTAACTGGGGAAAGCAGTGGGCTGACCACGTGAGGAGACTGAGAGGTGACTGCTGGGCAGCCTGGGGAGAATCTGAAGGAAGACCTTTAAGCACGTTGGACCAGCCCTCTTTGTCAGACTTTTGGGAGCTGCAGAAAAGGCAATCTGCACTACAGGAGGGGACATCCATATCAATGGGATCACAAATAGACTGCAATAGCCAAGAAATAGCCAAACATTATTGAGTTATAATTTCTTAAAGATGAATCAACATAGGTACTTTATCTGGACTTCTGCATAGCAGCATTGGCTTTTAGGAGAAAAGTTTGGCTAGTTTTGCTTACTTTCCATTTTTAAAAATTTGCATGTGGTCAGAGGATCATAGGATTTGGGAACCAGAAGAAACTTAAGAGTTCAGTCAAGATGCCCCCTTATTTTACAGGAAAGGAAATTAATGCCATGGACAGTGCTCTTAATCAGTCGTAAGGGATAAGCCAAGATTTGAACTCACAAACTCTTGCTCCAAATCTAAGCTGAGGAAAAGAGAGAAGGAATATCACCATATAATCATTAGCATGAAGCTGTTTTTTTTAATAGGACAATAGTTTCTGAACTTCAAATAAGATGAATTTGTCCTGAAGCACTCACCTTCCAACATGCAGATTAATCAAGCAATGAGCCAGACAGCTAATGAACTCTTGGTCATGGTTTCCTGGTCCTAGGATTAAGTTTCTGTTCACAGTAAGGACCCTAAGAGAATCGAGGAGAGCAACTTGCTGTGGGACTGTTTTGTGTGCCCTTGAAAACTGGTACAAGATGGTCCTATTTAGGCAGTGGTAAACGGCATCCAGTGACAACCCTTGCGATCTTCGTTTTGACTAATTAAACATATGAAAAGTACATGGTAAAATGAACAGTGCAATATCTTTATAACAAGGAATGCTCTGCTGAAGTTAACAAAATAATTTACTATTCACGAAAAACACTTGGGAAAAAGATGAACATTATTCAATGTATAGTTTAATAACTGAAAATGATACCAGAAAATATTCCGTAAGGTTTCGATTTCACTGCCTTTTGAGTACTACTCTGGCTTAAAAAAAAAAAGGCAAACACACAATAACCTGAGAAAAGACTATGACCCTTACGCAACAGCATATCAGTTTACTATTTTCAACATATTTTCCCATGAACTACTAAACAAAGCAACAGGTACCTAGAATGAAGCATAAAAATAATCCTTATTCACAAGTAACTGAGCCGTAGATTGACATGGAACACTCAGAGGAAGAGGAGAGAAGAAATAGGAGAACCGTGACTTGGCAAAATACAAAAATGGTGGCTGACCCTCTAATATCTTTCTCTTTTGAACTTACCCATAATGAGCACTATAAAAATAAATCAACTAAGTAGCAATTGGAAGTGATGCAGGAATGAGGAACCTGCAGCCACAAGGGCACATGTGGCCCTCTAGGTCCTCAAGTATAGGCCTTTGACTGAATCCAAACTTCACAGAACAAACTGTTGGTTGACAAATTGTTGTCTGCACTTGAGGACCTAGAGGGCCACATGTGGCCTTGAGGCTGCAGGTTCCCCACCGCTATGAAAGTTCTTTGGGGTAAAGAGTGTCAAGAACTCTACTGTTGGCCACAAACTGATGGGTAAGTCCACCAGTTCAACTCCTTGGAAGAAACAATTTTGAAAAACCTTCCTGAAAACAGACTGCTGTATGTTTATTAGTAAGCTTTCCTTCATGTAAAAACACAAGGGGAGAAGATTGACTTTGGCTTCCTCTCAAAGTCACTATCTTGGAACCATCAGTAAAATATTATTAATAATTAAATGTAATAAACATTAGTTCCTAGACTGTGCTGGGGGCTAAAGATATAATCACAAAACTAAAACAATACCTCCTGGCTTAAGCCTGCATTCTACAGTATTGTTATTATCATTATAATTATATTATCACCAGTATTAGTAAAAAACAAAACAAAACTATTAAGACTATTAAAAAGGAAACTTTGTACAATAGGCTTGAACAGGTTACCTGTGCAATTAGTTGAATAATAAAATCGATAAGGAGTTTAGATTCCTTATTGAACATTCCCTGCCAAAGCTTGTCTACCACACGCTGGGTGAAATAAAATACATTGTTCACTAGCACTTGGTAACTTCCTCCACTGGTGATGGGCAGAGATGCATCTTCCCCTAAATTCCAGAAAGAAAAAAACAAGAAAATGAATACATATGCAGCAGAAGGTGAAAAGAATTAAGAAGTTCTAAAACAAGTCAACTAGTACTATACTATCTGAAGTACTTTCCCCATTTTTAGATAACTCTGTAATCATGGGGACAAAAATCCTTAAATAACCCAAATATAACAGCCTTTTAGTTGCTGTTTTCTCATTTGTAAAATGAAATTATCTGACCTACCATGAGAATCACTATGAAATCACACAGGTGAAAATGATTTAAAAATTATACAAATGCTGCCCATTCTATCTTAAGTATCATCCACTGTGTAGTATGTATTTCACACCATAAATATTCGCAATTTAAGTAAATCTCAACAAAAGTTAAAAGCAGCACATCTATTTCAGGATGTACTTTTTGCACATTATGACAATATTCAAAATCTCTGGGTAAACATTTCTTTTTTTTAAAGTAAAGGTAATAGGGCAATAAGAGCATTCTGGCATCCATGATTAAAATCATTCACTGATCCAATCTGGCAAGCATTAAATGCTTGCTATATGAAAAGAAATGTTCTAAGTGCTGGGGATACAAAGTAATAATGAAACTAGCACATGCACCAAAATAATTTTTTTATGTACATATTTCCTCTGTTCTCAGAAGAAACTGCCACCACACTACACTTTAATATATTTTTATCATGGCATGCAATGGTAAAGGGGGCGTTTCCTTTCTCACAGAAAGCCTGTTTCAAAAAAACAAAAACAAACCTCCAGATACTGGAATAAATTAGACTCTCTATAAGTAGTTCTCTCTATAAAGTCTATATGAATATAAAATATTCATAAAAGGAAGAGGCCTTTAAACTATTAAAAAAAAAAGAGGATGTTTTTATATGTTGTCTTTCCTTTTTCTCTGTCCAACCTTCACATTGTCTGTACCCCAAGTACATGTGCCACAATTTATATGAAAAATTTAGGTCAGAATTTTTGAAAGATTTTTATTTTTGCTTTTTTTTAGATTTAATGGCTGGAGGGGAGGTAGAGAAAAGAAAAATCCTTAAAAATAGAGTTCAAACAGGAAGAAGAGAAGGAAATTAAGATTTCATTTGGGTTTCTTAATGGAAGATGACTGATAAAAGTCAAAGGTAAAATATGAAATTACCCAATAAAACATCAGCTGCAAGCAAGTGGTCCATGACACTATCTAAAACATAAGTCTGAAATTCTTTTTGCTGAGTTCTTGTAGACCTTTCAGGAGAAGCCTGCAAAGGAAAAGACCCTTAGGATTATAACCCAACAGAAGAAGAAATATTATGATTTTCAATCTAGTAATATCATCAAACACATCAAATTTTTAAAACTGTCAAATAGCAAAGTATGACATGAAGTGGTACAAATGTTCACAAATCTTAAAATTTTGTTTCTATTAATGAAATCCTGTTAGTCTTCTGTAATGGAATTATCATCTCCACCACGATAAAGCTTTTATACCTGTTTATCTCACAAATTCTGATCCTTGGTATGCATGATTTGTCTCCCCAATCAAATATTAAAACATTTAAACAGCAGAGAATCACAGAGAAGGGATCTTAGAAGCCATGTAGTCCAGAACTTTAAGAAATGCCTTCCACAACATATCTAAATGGTTATCTGTCTGTCTTTTGCCAACAGATCCCCATAGTCTGACAAGCTGATCTACAAGAGCTAAGGCAGCCAGTTCCACTCTGGGGATCTTTCCTCATATCAAGGCTAGATGTGCATCTGTGAAGCTTCTACCCATCATGCCTAGTTCTGTGACCTGGGGCCAAGAAGAAAAAGTCTAAATCCTTCTTCCACGTGACAGGTTTTTGTTCCTTTATGTCACATAGCTGGTTCAAGGTAAGAGTCAGTTTGGATATTCTCTTCTCCAAGCTATGCATGCCCAGTACTTCTGACCACTGTTCATATGGCGTGAACTTGTGGTTGACTAGTATCCTTGCTTGCATATGGTGCTTAGGACTAAATGTAGTACCACAGAGTGGTCTGACCAGAAAGAACTATGGTAGAACACCTGCCTCCTAATTCCTGGACCTCATGTCTTTCTTCCTGTAACCTAAGATAATTCTAGTGTTTTCAGGTGTGCTATCCAATTGCTGACTCACACTGAGCTCGCAGGATGCTCAAACTCCCAGATGTTTTTTTGAGGAACTGTTTGTGGCCTGGCTCTGTTTCCACCAGATGCTGCCCAACCCACAGATCACTGAGGTACATAGGAAGCGCTCCTTGGAACTCTCATAGCAAAGTGTTCCCACCTCTTTTAAAGACTTATGTGGTATACTACTAATGCTAATAACTCATATATTTATCTCTCCATTACAGATTTTAAGCTACTTTAGATACACTCCCTTCTCTCAATACATCTTTGCATCTTCTTAGAGAGGTTTGCTGAATGAGTAAAGAGTGAATGGTTTAATTGGAGACTTACTTCTGGGAACTACTGCTACTATGGTCTTTTGAAAACCCAACAGCAGTGGCAAGGGAAGGCTGGTGGTGACAACAGAGCGTGGTGAAGAACAGAAGTCATGACAGGAATTACTGCAAGCTTTTGTCTACAACAGAGCATTTGATCAATTCACCTGCCTCTAAGAACTATTCAGGAAAGATGGAAATCTGTTATGTGTAATAACCTTTAGAAAGAGATTTCACATGTTCCCCTTCTCACTCATTTTGGTATCAAACTGTTCTGGCAGGAAATTGATCTCTAAACAGAATCAAGGGGCTGAACAGTCCTCTAGAGACCTTCTAATCCATATTTCTCTCTTCAAACAGGTAAATATCTAAATCATTCAGCAGAGGCAATTCTATCAGCTTTCCTCTCAGGATTTTAATTCTTTGTTATTTTGTAATTGAAAAACATGGACACGAATGTTTCAAGTACTATAAATGAAACCATGTTAAAACTGAAAAAACCACTAACAATAAATTTAATGTATCCATTCCAAAGCTATCCTTTTGTATGCCTCTCCCTCTGAACCTCCTTCAGTTTCCTCCTGCAGATTAAAAACATTTTTTAATTGATGATTTTCTCTTTCTTAGAATCACTATTGTCCCTCTCCCCACTTCATTTCTTTCACTATGTGAGAAAGCCCTTATACACAGCAAACAAGAATGCCCAAGACACCCGAAAAAGCCATGTCAGTCATCTTAAAATGGATGTCTTGTTTCCAGCTAAGAGGCAGAAATTATGCTCCATCATCGGTCTTCCATTGCTGTGACTGGTCATGGCATTGTTCTGAGTCCCGAAGCCCTTCTAAGGCAATGCCGTTTTTACAATGCGGCGATCCCCGTACGCCTTGCCCTGGCTCTAATCACTGCACTCTCCATTTGTTCATACTTGTCTTTCTAGGTTTCTTTGAACTATCTTTCTATATTTTTCTTTAGTATACAATAATACTATAATTTATTTTGCCACTCCTCAGATGACAGCTACCCAGTGTTTCTAGATCTTTGCTACAAAAATGTGCTGCTATAAATATTTTTGCACATATGATTTAATCTCTTCAAGGTACAGCTCTGTTCCTTGCCTATAATAGGAGGATGTCCAAAGAGAAAACGCGCAGAGGGCATCCTGCACTGAGTCAGCTGAGCTCAGCTGTCAAGTCTATGAGTAACCCATGGTGGTCTGCCATGGCTGCTCTGTACTTAGGAGACCAGGAACTGATGTCAACAGCCTTATGCTAACCAAATCTTAAGAACGGCTTCAATACCTTTGAAGGAAAAAGTAGCCTAACTTGCATGTGGGTGGAGAATATTGCTTCCATTACAACACTTATTTATCAATTTGACATTTACCGATTGTGGAATGGCTCCTGTTCTTATATCCTTCAGACCCTATATAACTAGAACATAAGACCTTTACCAGGGTAACTTGCCATGAATATTTCTCCCAGTTACATTTCCCTTCTAATTCTAACTGGATTGGTTTGTTTTGCTTTAACTTTAATTTTTTCAATTAGGAAACATTTTAAAAATTGATCTGTATTTCACCCTATCCTGCTCCCATTCCATTGAACAAAATTTTTTAAAAAAAGGCCTCAATATACCGGTGCATTGTTAGACAAACCAAATTCCACATTGGCCATGTCCAAAAATGTGTATCTCTGCTTTTTATCACCTCTCTAACAGGAAGTGTCTTGTTTCACCTTCATTATTTTATACTTGTGGTTTATCATTGAGTTGATCAGTTTTAAAGTCTTTCAAAGATTTTTTTTTTCTATGTTATCACTGTTAGCCTGCTCTCCTACTCTTCACTTCACTCTATATTACTTTATAGGACGTCTCAAGGTTTCTTCTGAAATTCCTTACTACTTATGACAATCCTTACGCCTCATGGAAATATAATATTTGGTTTTGCCATTGCCCATAAGAGAGGCACAACCCCCCTTAGATTCTAGATTTTGGCTACTATGAAAAGAGCTCCTATAAATATTTTTGAACATATATATCCTTTTCATCTCTCTTTGATCTCTTTGGGGTACAGGCCTACTGGAATCATTTCTGATATACACAGTTTAGGAACTCTTTGGGAATGGTTACAAACCATTTTTCAAAAGGACTGCACCAATTCACAGCTCCACTAGTGTGCCTGTTTGATCCAAGCCCCTCCAACAATTGTCACTTTCCTCTTTTGTCATTGGCTAGTCTGACCAGTGTGAGGTATTTGTATTTGTGCTTTTTCAGTGTTTTCTTTCTTTCACTCCTTACCCAGCAGTGTTTGTTACTTGTGCCTTCTCATCCACATTCTATCTACTTCTGCCTTTTACTGCAGATTACAAGGTCATGCCTTATCCTCTTATCTGTTCCTCTATGGTACTGGTCCTTCTCAATGCTTTGCTGGGAGGAGTGTGTCATTTTTTCCACTTAATGTGGAAAAACGTGTTGCATAAATATCAGCTGTTATCCTTCTTCCCTGAGGTGGCCAATATTTGAAAATTTAACAGGTCTGCATTTTATTCAATTATACGTTTCATTGGTGAAAATTATTCTTATTTCATCACTACTGAGAATTCTGAGAAATCCTCCCCCCAAAAAACCCTCTTGTCTGCTCAGTGTCCAAGTGTTACTAATTATGGTAAAGTTACCTTACTAAACAATCCACTAGACTGTCATTACATGAATTGCCTTGATCAACGGGAGTATTGAGTTGCAGTGCTTCTGTTAGTCACCAGAGGGAGCACTTACTGCCCAGGTAGTACTGATAAAACAAGACTACTATTTACAGGCGCTGGTTCATAGCAAATAAGATGGTAGGACAAATATTTTTCCTGCTCCCCTTCACTTCTCTTGAGATTTGGCAGGCAAACATTTTTCATGGTTTTCAGGAATTTTCAATGCTTTCAGGAAAGGTGCTTGGTCATATTCTCATCCTGATATAGGAACAGAGCTACAAGATAACAGGGCTGGAATCAAAGTGGGGTAACTCCCTGGCTCAAAGCAATTAATCAGAAAAACTTATTAATTTTACTTAACTTTACTCCTGTCTTCACAGAGTACCATGGAGCACAGATGTGACAAATGCTTTTTACATGTGAGAAACATTTCCTACGTTTCTACTATGAAATGCTTACATCAACTGGAAAATTTGCCAACACCTTTTTGATCCTGATAGATTATGCACATTCTACCTGTAGCAGTGAAGCTACATTGCAATGAGCTCATTTCCTTGATGTTACCTCCAACAGCAGGTCAATCAGTGGAGTCTGCTTGCTGGCAGGTGTGAGACAGAGATTGTCTATAATCAAGACTCTCATGAAATCAAAAACAAACTTTTTTGCTGGGTGGTTGGTCAAGTAGGTTTTGGAGCCGACATTGCAGTACTCAGATTGGCTTCTGTTCATTCCCGTGTCAACTGCAAAGGCTTTGAACTCTTCTGCCGGAGACCCAACTTCATCATCAAGATCAGTGACCTGTTTAAAAACAGAACAGAAAAATGCCTCAGTCTTCCCATTATTATTAACTCTTACTTAGCATAGTGCTAATTTCCATTTGTTTTTACATAAGTTACATCATAATAGTAGTGATTGCTTTGTATGGTTTACCTATTACTCAATTATTTCACAAATTAATTCCATTGCTCTTTCATTTGACTTTTCACTTACAGTTAAAAGTCATCAAACTATATAAAGGGAGTTCTTTAAATTATTTCACAACTGCAATGGACATAAGCAATACTACAAAATGTTAATCAAAAAGATTTTTAAATTAAAGATATATTTCTTGATCATTAGTTAAATTTAATTAATGTGTGATCATCTTAAATTAATTCAATGGATTATGTCAAGATAATGACCTATTGTTTAAAATGAACCAAAAAAATGGTAATCAGCTATTTGGAAGGAGATGGAACATTTGGAGATCATCTAAAACAGGTTCCTCACACCTGATCTAGCATTTTACACCAGAGGAAACAAAGGGCGAGGGAAGGGAAAATGGCTTGCCCAAAGTCTCTTGCGTGGATGAAGGCAACAGTCATCTGAAGGCAACCTGAATCTTCATGAACTGACTACTGAGAAGCTAACTATCACAGATTTTCAGCTCAGGACCTGGTATCAAAGTAGAACTTAGCATTGGAATAATAAAAAATAAATAAAAAGGAGCTGTTCCTTCTATTCAGTTTTCCTGCAACTAATAAGAATTACAAATCAAAGACAAAGGGAAAATTCAAGAGACACAAAAATAATAAAAAGTGTGAAAAAAGTAAAAGATATTTCTGTCATCCTGTAGCATGGTTGAAAAAAATGTAGTGACACATATGAAATAAGCTAGGATGATTTCATGGTATACTGTTGGACATTTGTTCATCTTTCCATAGCTCTAAAATAACAATTATCTCTACCTAACTGGGGCGGGGGGCGGAGGGGGGGAGAGTTGGCATGAGATGCTAATTGCTTTGCTCCAAGACAAAGAACTGAATCTGATTTTCTAATCAGAAAAGGGAACTGCCATTTTGTACCATAGGATGAGAGATTTAGAGTTGGAAGGAATCTCAGAGGCATCGAGTCTAACCCCTTCATTTTATAGATGAGGAACCTAAGGCACAGAAAAGTTAAGTTGCCCGAGGTCACACTGTGTGGATGACACTGAGTTGGAATTTGAACTGGAGTCTTCCTGAGTCCAGCTCCCTATCCACTATACCAGTCTGCAATGTGGAAACACAAACATCATTCTGGCCTGGGGCATCACTGGTACAACAGGACACAATAATCCACCATCCACACATCACAGTTTATTATTGATTTTCTTTTACGTTAGGGTAGATAAAGAAAAATCAAATTCAAACAAATCTGTTACAGTTAATGATGTTGTACATTGCCACTTTTGAAAATGATGAAATTCTAAAGTTTATAATAATTAATTCCCCTAAATGGATCACGCTTAACAAGTGCAAAAAATTTTACAAACAAGAATTAATTAGAGCTTTGAAACCAAAAGCGTAGGCCACATAGAATCTTCTAAGTGGTTAGAATCTTCTAAGCTTAATTCAAAAATGAGGAATTAGGAACTCTACCATGATAAAACTGGCAAGAATGGGGTGAAAGGAAAGTAATGGGGCTTCTGGTGATGAGGGAGGAAATAAGACTAAATGTTTGGGGTCCTGGAGATATTCTAGAAAATGAAGTTATAGGTTATAGGTTGAGTATAAAGTTATCAAAGGTTGCTTCATAAAAGATTGTTTGACAGACTAATTCCAGGTAGGACATTTTTTTCCTCTCCCTTTCCTATGTCAAAAGTAGATTTTTGGGAGAACATGACCGACTCCAATGTAGGCTATATTTGCTATTATGATATTTCTTTCTTTTCCTGTACGACACTGAATGTACTAAATGTCTCCTTTGGTACCTACTTTCCCCAGTCACTTTATGGTTACAAAAGAAAACTCAGAGGACTTGGAAGAGCTATAGGAACTCAAGCAGTTCTCTTTATTCTGTCTAAAAAGGCACACAGTTGCAGATTAATAAATGCTAATGAACTGACCGCTAAAGGAGAAATGTTTTCTTTGGTCTGTTGTAAATAGCTATGCTATAAGCCTTTGCAATATTTTAAGCACCCTCTTTCTTTTCCTAAAAATGCACCTTTTGCTGCTTATGTGACCTACCTGAACTTACTCAAACTGGATCGTGTAGCTCAGAAGGAGATACATATATCGTTTTATATAAATATATATATATTTATATGTGTGTGTGTGTATGCATGCACGTGTGTGTGTATATATATATGTATATATATATGTATATGTGAATGTACATGTATGTATGTATGAGTGTATGAATGATGTCACCTGTGGGATACACATCCATCACCAACGGATAGGCTGCGTCACATTCTTGAGTGGATAAAGAAACTGTGGTACCTGTCTTACTATAACATGTGCTGGCTTATTCGTGCAGTGGCCAGCAAGGACTTAGAAAATTCTTGCAACACGTACCATCTCAGAGTACGGTCGGATGTTGAAGGGGAAGACAGTAGCTGCTAATGCACACAGAAACTCTGGGCTCATCCACATTGAACTGAGGTCTGGAACATTGTGATATAAGTATCTAAAAAACTGCATCAAGGTAACAGGATATTCTCTGAGCCAAGATCCTTCTTCTTCTGATTGCCAAGGCTGTTTTGGAAGCAAGAAGAGAAATAAAGAATTAGGGTCTGTAACTGCTACTGTTTAAAAGTATTATGAGAAACTCACTGAAAACATATTAACATACACACACATCAGCACAAACACAATTTGATGACTATTATATCATGACATATTTATATGCTGCAAAAACAAACACCTCTCTGTACAAGAAAGATATTCAAAACTGATCCATCTTTGATCTTCACAGAAACTTTTCCGTGTGAAATCAAAGACAAATTAAAATAAAACACAAGAGACATTTTCTGGGCATTTTCTTTGGCAGTCTCCCATGCCTGGAAGGCTTTCCCTCCTCAGCTCCACTTATTGACTTTCCTTTAAGTACCAACTAAAATCCCTTTTTTACTGGAAGCCTTCTCCAATCCCTCTTAATTCTAGTGCCTTCCCTGTGTTAATCACTTCCAGTTTATTGTGTATGTAAGTTTGCTTTGTAAATATTTGTTTGCATTGTGTCTCTCTCATTAGACCTTAAGACATAAAAATAACAAAAACAGCGCTAGTGAAAATTAAAAGATATCTCCATGGCATTGCAACTTGGCTAAAAACACGTAGTGACACATGTGAAATAAGTTAGGGTGATTTCATGGTACATTGGTGGATATTCGCTCATCCTTCTACAGCTCTAAAATAACAATTATCTCAGATCCCCTCATTCCCTGTTCTCTCTAATCAGCATAAAAGTCTAGGGCCACTCAGTGTAAGGACAAACTACCTCAATAAGCCCTACGTACTCTATACTATCCTATAATACAATATAATATATGTATTATGCAATAGTACTTTATTGAGCACTACTATAGTAATAGTAGTAATAGTAGGCTACAGTACAATAACTGATGTACCTAATAATACCTTGAGTCAGCAAAAACTTACAGTACGTTCAAGATATTTTTTAAAAAGGCTAGGAGGCCAGAAATACACTTTTTAAAGATTTCCATGAAAAATAGTTAAATTTTTTTTTAAATTGCTATACATGTGGCTATATAAAATGACCCCAAATCAAAGGGATTTTTGAAGTTTGGAGGCTTGACTGTATTACCTGTTTAAAAATGTTTCCATGAGCAAGGTACAGTTATTTTGATTTCTGTCTTTGCTTTGTGAGGCAACATGGTTTAAAGGGAAGCACAGCCAGAAAATTCTTAAGGTCACAGCCCCGTGTGGATGTTTGTTTATTTTTGCAACTGAAAAAAATCACTTAACTACTATGAGCTTCAATTTCTCATCAATGTGAGAATGTGGCATACTATAAAGCTTTACACAAATATGAACTGTTCTTTAAAGGTACCTGTGACAAATGGTTCTGCCTAAGGTAAGAATGACTGCTGTCCACGCCTGCAATCCTTCTAGGTGTGTATGTGTGTCAGAGCACATTAATCTCTAGGTCAGTATTTTAGGCATTTGTGAGTAGATTATTCTTTTTTGGGGGGGGGGGCAATTGGGGTTAAGTGACTTGCCCAGGGTCACACAGCTAGTAAGTGTCAAGTGTTTGGTCTGAGGTCGAATTCGAACTCAGGTCCTCCTGACTTCAGGGCCGGCGATCTATCCACTGTGCCACGTACCTGCCCCACGGGTAGATATTTTTAAGCACACAGATCTTCACTATCTACAAGTATATCACAGTGTAGAAGAGAAGGGAGTGTGACGTCCAGGGAACACCAAAGATTAAATCCTGGCTCGGCCACTGTGTCACCTTGGGCATTTGCTCACTTTAGGTCTCTGGGCCTCTGCTCCCTCATCTTTAAAAAGCAGGCTCTAAATCTGCAATCTGCAAAACAAACCTTCCATTACCTGTCTCAAAAGGTGGTTGTGAGGAAAATGCTTTGTCACAGACTAAAATGCTATATAATGGAAGTTAATAAGGAAAAATGCCATAAAACAAACACCATGGGCCGTTGAGACAAATCTGCCATAACATTTGTAACACTACATGATGTAAGGCTGGGAGATGAAAAAACAATCCCACCCAAATTAATTTAAAAACAGAAGGCTTAGACCTTTGCAATTGAATTAAAGCATAAACTAGCTGTCAACAAGTCTTTAATCAATTTGGAAGGAGTAAAATGCTTTAATCGTTGGATGAGGGGCAGATAACGCCACTCAGGAATCACCGTGGGATTGGCTGAAAGAATCAGAAACACTTCTGGACCTAACTATAAAGCACCTCGTAAGGTAGATCAAAATCTGGCTTTCCAACAGCAGGCCAGTTTAGTGGTGGAACGGTGCTAGTCAGGCCTGGGAGAGGGAATCCCTAAGAGTTGGGAGAGAGTCCTGTCTTCTTCCCTACCTACCCCACCAGGAAACTGTCAGTTCAAGAGAAGCATCAGAGCCAGAGACGATCCACTGGCAGCTCAAACTGGCAGCAGTATCCCTCTTGACAGCAGTGACATCTGCATCAGAATCTGAGAGACACATGGCAAACTAGATATTCAGAGGAAAAGTAGCTTCAGGATGTTATGAAGATATCAATCATCAACCCGATCCTCAGTGCCTATCAGAAAGGGACAAAATGACTTCTAGGTACCAGGAGCTGAAACCCCCTTGGCCTCATTTGTTCTCTATGGGACTGCTGACATTTGTACTTATATTTGTACCCACTCTCCCCACAGATGCTCAACAGTAAAAAAGTTAGTATAACAAGATAGCCTTTGACTGACAGATTTGGAAAATGCTTCATGAGTAAGTTTATATTATAGGTATTAGATAAGCATTGTACCTCAACTTCTGAATTTCCTTACTTCTAAGAGAAGGATAATAAAAATATCATATATTGGAATAAACGCTTTGATAAGGTTCTTCTATATCCACGTAAAGTATTATTATCATGGAGATGAAAATTGTAGGAATGAGATTCTCAAAGTAACAGTAAATCTACATCACACAGGATCATTTTGATTAATGTTCTTCTATTCAGAATAGCAGAGGAAGATGGAGAGTTATTAATATTTCTCAGTGCTTCATCATACTTACTGAATTGAGCATGCTGCGAAGCATTCCCAACAACAAAAAAGCAGCTTCTGTGCAAACATTATGGATTGAAGAGACCACGGTTCCACTAGAGGCAGGAACTCCAAAGATAAATGTCCATATGGAATCCAAATCAAACTATAGGGGTGAAGTTAAACAATAATTGGGGACAGATTCTTTTCCTCAATATGAACTCAGACTTCTAATATTTTCACATCCTTAAAATACAATTATTTAAATGACCAGATTGATGTTGGTCTGATAATCACAACTGTATAGTTTTAGTAAGAAGAGACAGAATGAGGAGCAAATTTCACTTTCTCCTATATCCTATAGTACCTTTCTATCTAAAAAGATAAACTGTGTAAGGACATTCTATCTTATGTGTTTGTTTTGTCTTGCCAACATAAACAGACTATGTTTTAAAAGACTACATATATTCTTTCCAATAAATTATTACAAAAGAAAAATTGCAGAACAAATTAACCCGATGATCAAAGGAACGAAATCATAGGCAACTATATTGGCTAACTGCTGAATTTAAAGCACAACAATTTTCTCAATTAGAAAATAATTTGAATGAACACCTCCCCAAAAAACAAACAAACAAATAACTTTCTGATTCAGTTTCACACTGCTCACAGAAGTTCTTGCAACTAAAGTAAGATGCAGCTGTGGGGATTTGTTTCATTAAAACGTTTCACTGGTAAAATGCGTTTTTTGGACCATATGAGCATGAAAAAAAATTGCTATGCAATCCAACAGATCTCTTGGAGGTCACACACCCATTTATTGGGTCAATGACAGGACACAGAGTGGAAGATTTTAATTTTAAAGGGATTACAAACTATTGGAATGGAATAAGACAGCATTAGCACTTTGAAGCTTTTATGTTTCAGGATGCTAAAACATAAAAAGTCTGAAGCAAGTTGAAAATCCTTTCTATGCATGCTAGAATGATCTCTCTCGTCTCTCTGTCTCTCTCTCTCCATCTTCTACAAGAAGCCCTGTCCAACCCCTCTTAATTCAGTGCCTTCTCTCTGTTAATTATTTCCTCTTTAGCCTTATTATAGCCTGCTTTGAATATCTTTGCACGTTGTTTTCCCCATTAGATTGCAAGCTCTTTGAGGGCGAGGATTGTCTTTTGCTTCTTGTTGTACCCCTGGTGCTTAGCACAATGCCTGATAGTTAGGTGCTTAATAAATAAATATTGATTGCTTGACATACTGATCTGTGCTTACAACTGTCAGAAAATCAGAAAGCACAAAGGTTTTATTTTATCTTCTATCTTCTTAACTTACATGTTATTTTAACTTTAAACTCTTTTGAAAATTAATATTAGCTTTTTAATAATCAGAAATGACTGTAAATCTTATCTCTGTAATATGCCATTTCTTCAATAACATAAGTCATTAGTAGAAACACCAAATTAAATTCTTCATTTCTAGTTTTCCAAAAGAAAGCTGTATTTTTTAAATATAGAGCAAATCCCACAAAATTATTTAGGTCAGCAGTGAAAATGTTTATTTCAGTGCTGACTTTCTGATTGATATATCAAACACATAGAGGAAAATATATACTTGTGTTTGTAATTACATTAAACTTATAAATACGAAAAAAGTCACCCTTATTGTGAATTTAGAGTAAGGATATCTCCAAATTTCTATCATGTCATCTTTATACATGTGTACTAAGTAATTTACGGATTTAGTATAGAATTGTTTTTGAAGAAATTAACTCATAATGCCCATTGGTAAGTTCATTCCCTCCCTCCTGCCTGGCCCACACCTCCAATCCCCAAACCCAAATTACACGTGTGCCTTGCTAGATAAATTCCTACCTGGCAACCCTGATTACATCGGCTGCTGATGACAGGTACACTGACCTGCAGGTTTTCGGGCAGCTCGGCGACTGGCTGCTGCAGAAAGAGGGCCATGAGGAGGAAATAAAGGGCAGGGACATTCGTGTGCTTAGGGAGAAATGACTGAAGAACTGGAAAACCAGGAAAATGACAAGCATCCCGGTTAATCTCCCTGATAGCTGATCGGCCACCAGCACTTCTGCCCACGTTGAATCCTGAAGAAAAGGAGATAGAAAAATGAGTGTAAAGCTTGGCACCAATTCTTATTATGCTACTACACAAAGCTTTGGAATAAAAAGGGTTAAACTGATATTTATATCTAGAACATTTGCATTAATAGCAGCTAAGAGCATTCAATTGTTGATTTAATCTGTCACAACTATATACAAAGGCTGCCTCCAGAGATAATGGACTCCACTGCCCTGGGGGTCTCCAAGAGGATGCTGGATGACCACTTGTCTAGTGTGTAGCAGGAGGACTTTCTTTTTGGGTAATTTTTGGACAAGACAATTGATAAGGTACTTCCAACTCTGAAATTCTGTGATGCTGTGACTTTGCTGTATGGCCCCTGGACATAGAAAGTAAGCGTAACAGGATACAAGTTTTAACTGTGAGATTGAGAGAGCAAATGTAAAGACATCTGGGAAATGATTCATGAGAAAATTGAAGTTTTACTCACTAAAAAATATGAATGTTTGTTTATTTCTCCAAATGGGAAATGAAAGAAAACATGCAGCCAGAGTATACAGGCAACAAAAATATTAATTTGCAAAATCCATGGGAGGCTACTTCATTGAATGAAATCATGGCTTATGCATAATGGAAGGGTTGCAAGTCTGAGTGACTGGGAGGATGGTGGTACCCTTGATAGTAATAGGTAAGTCAGGAACAGCGGAGGATTTGGGAGGAAAGACAATGAGTTCAGTTTTGGACATGCTGAGTGTAAGATGTCTTTGAGATATCCACTTCAAAATATCCCATAGGCAGCTGGAGATGAGAGACTAGAGATCAGGAGTGAGAAAAAGGCTGGACAAACAGGTCTAAGCATCAGCAACATGGCAATGATGGTTAAACCAATGGGAGCTGATGGGATCACCAAGTAAAATAGTTTAGAGGGAGAGGAAAATGCCCAGGACAGAGTCAACATTACATACAGGGTATGACCAGAACAAAGATTCCGCAAAGGAGATTGAAAAGAAATAGTCAGAGAGTAAGAGAACCAGGATAGAACAATGTCACAGAAATCTAGCAAAAACAATATCAAAAAAGAGAATGATGACAGTGTCAAAGACAGAACAAGTCATTAAATTTGACAATAAGATCACTGATGATTTTGGAGAGAGCAGTTTCAGTTGGATAATGAGGGCAGAAGCAAGACTGCAATGAGTTTAGAAGAGAATAAGAGGACAGAAAGTGGAGACATTAGTTGTAGATGGCCTCGTCAAGGATTTAACTACAAAAAGGAGGAGAGATATGTGACAATACAAGTGAGGACTGTTGGTTTTTCTTCCTTTTTTTGAGGACAGGAGAGACACAGGCCTGTTGGTAGTCAATAGGGAACAGCTAGCAGATAGGGAGAGATGAAAGGTTACGGAGAGTTGGGGATGACAGAAGATGAGATGGAACGGTATCATGTATACCTGTAGAGGGGTTTGCCTCAGCAAGAAGGACCACCTCTTCATGTGAGGTGTGGCTGAAGGAGACAGAGGTGAAAAGCATCTGAAGGGATGTGAGATGAGGAAGAGAAAGCTCTTACTAAATAGTCTCAGTTTTTTTCAGTGAAATATAAGGCAAAGTTCTTAGTTGAGAGAGTAGGGAGGAGAGCTATGGGAGATTTGAGAAGGGATTTAAAAAAAGGTTGAAAAAGTCAGTGTGGTGAGCAGGACAGGAAGTAGAAAAGCTGGATGGCTTTGGAGCCTAGAGGTTCTGGGTTCAAATCCCAGTTGCGCCGTCTACTATTTCTGTAATCTTAGGTAAATTATGACCAACTAGAGCTTTAGTTTATTCATCTGTAAAATCAGGGGGGGAGCTGCTTCAATTCTGCCTCCAGTACATTTTTCCCATTTGTTTGAGAAACCATCTTTCTTTACTGCAAATAATAAACAGATACAAAGTGGGGACTGGACTAGATGTCTTTCAGGTCCTTCAAGCTCTACTTCTATGATCCACATAGTATCTCTATGATGTCAATACACAGAAGCCTTACAATTTACGACTGCATCAGTGTGAGAACTACTTCTACCAGTACAGATCACAGTGAGGTGGAGTGACGTCGATGTGGTTTTACAGCCAGTAAATGTCAGAGGCAGGACTGGAACTCAGGCCTTCGGGACTTTAAGTGCAGTCACCCATTTATTACCCTTTTATTACTTATTATGACATACTAAAGCATCCTCATTGTTTTATGAAGAGAAGGAAATAATTCAGATGCCCAATATTGCTATGTGGGAGGCAGCCTCACGAGAAGAAATTTAATAAAAATGAAGAATCATTAGTGAGTTTTGTTAAATTAGTGGGGTAGTAGTCGCGACTCTAACTCCAGCACCCTCTTAGTTCAGGTTAGAGGCTGAGATGCAACGAGACACTTGTGAGTCACTGTGGTACCAAACTTCTCTGGACGTGGCCCCCTCATCTCTTGCTGTCATGAAGGTACAGGATGCCACGGTTTTAGACAACCACCAAGTCTAAGAAGCACTACCTAAAGCTGGGACCTTTTATGCCCCCAGGCCTGGGAGCTGAGACAGGGAAGCTGCATAGCTAAGATTTATAATGTGCTCTAAGGTTTACAAAGGATTTTAAAAAATATTTCATTTTATCCTAAAAACAATCCTGGGAAGTAGGTGCTATTATTATCCCCATTTTACAGGTGAGAAAACTGAGGCAGACAGAGGTTAAATACTCGCTCAGGGTCACACAGCTAATAAGTGCCTGAGGCCAGATTTGAACTCAGGTCTTCCTGACTCTAGGTCCAGGGCTCTATTCTATTCAATCCTGTAGGAATGAACGAACATTATGAGAAATTAAAAATCTAAACTCTTCTTAATAATGCAAAACATTGATTTAAAATATAGTCAAAATAAATAATAACAGGAATATATAGTAATATGCGACAAAATGACACTGTTATAGAACAGCCAAGTGGCAGACGCAATAGTATCAATACACAAAAAGGAAAAAATGAAGAATGTGTTGACGCGGAAGATATTTCTTAACCAATATTCATACATGAAAATGTTAACCTTTTAAGAACATCAGGTATTTGATCAGAGACAGGAAAACATAACATAAGAAGGACCAACAGTCATTAGCTGTCCCTAAGGTCAGGCAGAACATACAGTCTTGCTTCTTCTAGGTGAAAAGTTCCATACCTAGCACAGTGCCAATTTTATTGGTCAAGACAGAATCTGTCTGCTCAAGCCAGCCTCCGCCACTGAGTCCTTCTTTAAACTTGATGAGAACAGACTGGTTACTCAGCAAGACAACCAGAATCCTCGTGGCTGCAGTCACTGTAGTTGAGTGCAAATGTTCCTCGGTAAACATCAGGAGCCAGTCAAAGCCCAGTGTCCTGACCAGGTCTTCACAAGCTCTAATCAAGGGGAAGAGGATTAAGTTCCAAGATCAGTCTCAGGGTTTAGTCAGACAAGGTCCTCATATGAAATAACTCATTTTTTTTTTCTTTTTAAAAAGACCTTAAATGAAATGATGGTACAAGTTACTTCTCTAGGTATTCCCAAGTAAGGTTGGTGGACTTATTCTATCAACTTTGGAAGCAAATCAAACTAAAGAGAAATAGGAACAATCAGCATGCAATGTCAAGAGAGAGTTTTACTTACTGTATATTAATGCTTGTCTTTTCCTTTGATGAGTAGACTAGTTTGAGTAGAATATCTAACAGTCTATTTCTCAAAAGGATCAGATTAGCAGATACAAGACCTCCAAAATCTTCCTCAGTTCCTAAGAAAGAAAAGAGAGTCATTAAAGTTTGTATATGAGACAACCCTAGCCCATGGCACTGATATTGCAGGATTTTCTTCCCAAATAAGAAGAAAGACAGTGAAGAGTCTCCCATCAGGAGATCTGTCTCTAGTTGTGGCTGACATTGCCTGGCCTCACACCCTGGACAAGACACCCAACTTTTCTGGGCTTTCGCTTTCCTCATCAACGAGTGACAACCACACCAGCCCTTCCTAATTTAGTGGAATGCTGTGAAGATCAACGTGATCCTGTAAAAGGACTGAAGATTGTCTTTTACATCACACAGGAAGCTGGTAGAGTTACAGCAACAGTGGTTCATTTAAAAGCTGCAATCATACCAACATTTCAAGTGATTTTCCATTTCTACAACATGTATTTGGTAAAAACATGATAAAGTAGAATCCAAGAGTAAATAAATCCTTCTTTCCAGAAAGGAATTTATATTATTCATGAGGGGAAAGAAAACAAAGATAACACATGCACAAGTCATGGGAGCTGGTGGGGTGGGAAGTGAGAAGAGAGGTGTCCTGAAAAGCACTATGTCAGTAAAAATTAAAAAAAAA